TGATAAACACAACGACTTGCCTTTTCTACCACAGAACGGTATACCTGCTAATTCAAAAGTGAAGAAACTAATAGCAACATTAGAGCCCAAGAAAAATTATATTGTTCACCACCGTAATCTACAGCAAGCCATTAAAAACGGTCTTAAAGTAGATAAAGTAAGAGTTTATTTTACAACAATTATGCAATGAAGACATTTTTAACATTATAATATTTAAAGGTACATAGAGTCATTGAGTTTAATCAGTCGGCATGGTTGGCTGATTACATCAACCTGAACACTGAGTTACGCAAGAAGGCCACAAATGATTTCGAGAAAGATTTTTTTAAATTAATGAACAATGCAGTATTTGGTATGTTATTATAAATTATAATTTTTAATTTTTCATAACATTTTCTTATGATTTTCCAGGCAAGACGATGGAAAATGTACGTCAACGTATAAAAATCAAGTTAGTATCCAGTGAAAAGTGTTTGCAGAAACTTATAAATAAGTCCACGTTTAAGCACTGCACGACTTATAACGAAAATGTAGCAGCTGTGTCGCTAGAGAATAAGGAGATTAAATTTGATAAGCCAATATATATAGGTAACTATTACACACACACACACACACACACAAACACACAAATATTATATTTTAATGTTATTAATTTCAAATTAATTGATTATTGTTTTTTATTATAGGTTTTGCGGTACTTGATATAAGTAAAACTCTTATGTATGAGTATCATTACGATGTCTTGCAAAAACATTATGGCGAAAAAATAGAACTCATGTATACAGATACAGGTAAATATTTTAAAACCGACTTTATTTTCTTATACTAACTAACATTAATTTTTTAGATTCACTGGTGTACTATATTATTACGGATGACTTTTACCAGGACTTGGCAAATAACGCAAACTTGCTAGAGAAGATGGATACAGCAAATCTCCCGAAAGACCATCCATGCTACATTCCCGACCGTAAGAAGATCCCGGGGTTGTTTTCCGACGAGACGAATGGACTCGTTATGACAGAGTTTTGTGCATTACGAGCAAAATCATATGCATACAAGCTTAATGGGACTGAAAAAATCAAAGCCAAAGGAATCTGTGGGCATGTGGTAAAGAACCACATGACATTCAATGACCATAAGAAGTGTCTGTTTGGTGACAGTGATTTAGACGTTTACCGTCAAAATGTCTCCATCCGCTCATTCAAACACCAGCTTAAGACTATAGTATCAAAAAAATTAACTTACAATAACTTTGACGATAAGAGAGTTATTCTAGAGGATAAAATCCATACCATGGCTCATGGACATTTTAAACTCGATTGTTAATTGTAAACATAAATATAATATATTTGTAAATTATATTTAATTTTATAAATGTTAAGGTTAATTTATTTTTATTTTGTGAAATATATCTATAGATATCAATTAGTTTGTTATTTTTTTTGTAAAATAGCTTTATAGATATAATTTTGTTTTGTTTTTTTATTTTGTAAAATATCTCTATAGATATTAAATTGTTTTGTGTAATAAAGTCACTTATCATAATTCAAATCTTTTTATTATTCCCGATATATTGCTTCCTTTTCTCACATGTGTAATTCTATACATTTTATCTCTGAATTAACTTACATTTTAAAGGTACATGTATGCTTGAACAATAGAAGTATACTATCATGGTATCATATTTAATGCTAAATGTAATTGTTTGAATTAACATTAACTTACCATGGAATGCTTAGATGTGTTGTATTTATAGTAACAGTGATAACTACTAATAGATGTGTTAAAAATATATATACAAACTTCATATTCATATTAAAAATCAACCGAGTTTTCAAATAAAAATCATATTAGATGTAACCATATTATGATAAATATTATATTTTTTAGTTGTCATAAATATCATCATTTCGTTCGTAAATATCAGCATATTAATCGTAAATATAAACATATTTGTATCTAAACACATATGGGTACTATACAGGTCTTGATAAAAATATGAGACAAAAAGTAAATACCTATTTAAAATCTCACAAAAATGTATAATTTCAACAGTATACAAAACCTATATAAATATAGGTTTTACTGTATCGACTTTAATCTAAATAATTAATACAAACATTTTATTTGAATTATAATAGCATATTTTCACTGAAAATATATACAAACATCATATTCCTATTGGTACATTCATAGATACCTCTGCTAAAAGTTTTTATTTTTGTTTAAATTTTATAAAAACTGCATTCATAGAGCCAAACTCATCAGTTATATAATATAACCCCTTTGCACCCCCGAGATTACGCCTATGTGCCGGAGCCAACCGTGATATCTCGTTGTTTAACTTTTCCTGTACTTCCGGATGTTTGGCAATCAGGTACAATAAAAACACCAGGGTATTTCCGAACTAAAAAACGTGCGTACAAAACTTTATAGCATTTACATATTTATTGATTCGTTTGAAGGTAGAAATGAACGTCAGTTTATTGTAGTGTATATGTAAATGCATAAAGTAGCTGTAGCACTCGGCACTACTTAAATTCGTTGCAGGACACAGAGGGCTATATAGTACTTAAATGCAGACAAAATATTCTAAGAACCATTGGCACAAATAGGGGGGGGGTTTGGGGGGACTTAGTCCCCCCACATTTTGGTCAAGTCCCCCCAGTTCAAAATCTAGTAATTAGTACTAATTATTATATTCTGTAGTACTAAACATGTATATATTTTAAAAACTTAACCAAATTACAAAATACAATTATTGTAAAAAATTATTATTATGCTAGTTTTTTTTTAAATCTTTATAAAAAAATCCTATAACATATCTTAGTCCGTGCCTCGTGGTCAAACAGATAATTGATAACCGATAAGTAATTTATAGGTGATAAATAGGGCTCGGATTTCAATGCATTTGCATCTTTTTTTGGGATATCTTACTCGATGCTTTCCAAGCTACAAATATGTTTCAAGTACTTCGCAATCCAACTATAATAATTTTTTGGGCAATTTTTTTGTTATTTTTGCATTTTTAGAGGATTTCATCATTTTTAGAGCATTTTTTGACGGTTCAAATGCATTTTTTAATATTTTAGGACATTTTTGACCTATTTGTCGTATTATGACTAAAAAAATTGACCTCATAGAAATATAAGTACTACATAGTAATATAGTACTACGTAATAAAAATTATTTTCATTTTGAACTATTTTAACTAATTTAACATCAGGTTTTCCGGTTTTTACAACCTTTATGTCACACCATCCAATTAGCCGATATTATCGGATTATTTTCTTATCGAGCGATAATATATCACTGGTGCGCGTGGCCGATTGTCGGACGCTTTCAGTCGTGTTGCGTATTACGTCGAAGGTACTTACTTTGTTCCTCATTTTTTAATAATAATTAAATTTGAATTTATTTAATAAATAATGCATTTTTTGAAACGTCATTTTTTGATATTTTTAGGGCATTTTTTAGAGTTTTTAGGTCATAAATGCATTTTTTGAAAGGGCATTTTTTTGATATTTTTAGGGCATTTAAATCCGAGCCCTAGTGATAAACTATGAGGGCTGTGTCACGATCACGGCTATAGTATCTATAGCCAAAGAATAATGCCGTGGTTGCTGTTGACCTCCACAATCGACGGTTGACGCGCCAATTTTTGAACGGAGCATTTTGTTATCATTAATAATTATTATTTGTTACCACGGTCCACGGACTAAGATATATGTTTATTACTAACTTGTTAGGTTATATTTTAATATTTATTGGAATAAGGGATTTATCTAATAATATAAATACAGAAGATATTTTAAATGTATTTGCCGAAAAAGAACTGAGAATTTTGTTAAAATAAATATATTCTAAAAATGTAATACTTTGTATTTTTATATATCCGTAACGATAGTTTCTCAGTGGGTGGGGGATTTTATGGAGAGCGTTTCCCTCCAACATTTGTTTTACTTATATTAAGACCTTTGTGGAGGGGGGCTTGAGTCCACCCAAAAAATTTAGTCAATTTGCGCCTATGCTAAGAACACTAGTTTAAAGTACCTACGTCTATGTAATATATGACGTATTTGTTATGTCACGTAATATACTATGTAAAAAATATTAATTTTATGAATGTTATGAATATTTTTCAAAGTTTTCAAATTACATTGATTTTCCTGAAGGTGTGCCCTGCAATCATTGACCACATTTTACACAGGAAATACAACAACTATTATTGTACTTATGAGTTTATATCATATATTAGAAATACTCGCTGTACTACAAAAAGGAAATTTTAAATAATTTTCATTGGATTTAATTTCAAAATCGCAGAAAAAATTATACATATTTGCTTGATGGAGACCCGATTTAGATAATTGATGACGCGATTGACATAGTTTTGGGAATATAGGTAAGTTCTTCAAGCCGTATCACATCAATCGGAAACCAAATACCAATACTCCTGCAGATAGGTAAATAATAGGTATCTATAATATAATTATAATCAATATATTATGTCAAAATGGATTAAAACTAGTACCTAGGTACTTCACTAATACATTATTTATTATTATTAATGATTGCACTCAGCTACTGCAGTACACAAAATAAACTATTATTATCATTTTCACTATTATCGCTCATTATGAGTTTTAAGTTTCAACATTGTCGTTTGCGGAAAAGATACGGTTGTGAATAATATTGTAGTAAGCCATTTGATTGTGGCGTGGCGTGACCAGGAACATATTATAAATATTTTGTATTATTCTAGATAGTAGACCGTCAATCCGGCAATCAATTGTAACAGCACCATGTTCATTGATTTTTTACCAGTCTTCTAGGTAGAATACTCAGGGAGGGGTTTGAGTTTAAGTAATAATACATTTAAATAATAAAAGTCTTTATGGGTCAATGGGAGCGGGGAATATAACCATTAATCACTCCCCACTTGACACACCACTGCCGTATGATGATATATTATTACTGTTTTTATTCCTGCGGTGATGTATTCGTTAAGCAAGGCTTTCTTTTCTTTCATATCCAAGTTTGACGACAGTAGTATGGACCCAAACACGCTGCTTTCAGGTGTGCCAGACTGTGTTTGGTCGTTCAACACCGATTTCGCACATAATTCTAGAAAAATTCCCAACGTGTTTATTTGTATCATGACCTTTCTACAAGTTAAACTTGCTCATATGAGGTGTCTTGACTAGCTATGAATTCTTTGTAAGTCTAATTGGTCAGTATTATTTTCCAGAGCGGCAGCCCATAAAACGCTTCTGGACACTTTACTCGCTGTAGTTCAAGCGCCGCAATAACAGACGGACCTGTGCTGTCGTTTTGTTCGTTTTTGTTTACCACCAACACCGTTTTGTTAATTCCACCGTTGTGTACCGTTACCAACACCAACTAAACCAACTACGCCAACTACTGTTGTTTTATTTACCACCTTCAGTTTTTGCAGCGACCACCCACCACACTGTACCACCTCACTGCCTGACCACAGATTACCTGGTTTTTATGATTTATTACTTCCCCTATTGTCAATTATTATGTAGTATTACATTGTTTGGTTATTATTGTGTTCTTGTTAAAATCCAATAGTATTATTTTTTACCCATCAGCTGGCCAGCGCCTATTGTGTCCCCCAATATCATATCAATATTTTGTATTATTCTAAATAGTAAGACGTCAATCCAGCAATCAAATGTAACAGCACCATGTTCATTGATTTTTTACCAGTCTTATAAGTAGAATAAGTTTATTTCCTATACTATAGTGAATCGTTCTTCAGCTCGATTGCCTGTTCTTGAAATGTATCCGTCAATGTGTCTACGTTAGCACTGAATGGACAACTAACCAGTCTTTATTAATTTTTCATTTATGCTCTTCATTTTAAATATAATACAATTTGATAAATAAAAATTTTACTTTATGATGACTGTTTGCGCCTCCCCAGAGATGTGTATATGCCCCCCAAGGGGGGCGCGCCTCCTATGTTGGGAATCACTGTCCTATACAGTCCACTATTCTCAAAAACACTATGCGTAAATTATAACTCTAAATCTGCGTTCTCATGAATTAAAATTAAGTAACTTGAATTAAATTGTATCAATTTTAAAAAAGTTTAACAGAACAATAATTAAGGTAGCGTGAATAAACTTAATGAACCAAAATAATTAATTTTGTTTTCAAGTTAATTTTGATTATTATAAAATATTAATATTTAACATATTCATAAATAACTTAAAAATTGAAATATGACACTAAACCAACGAGAAAACGCAAGTATATTTACATTTATGTCTTATTATAGGTCAATTATCTCTAATTTTTAATCTAACTATACAAAATTGGAACTTCTGGATTTCGATACATTATGCAGCGTTAGTAAGACAAAGACAAAGATAACTTGGAAATATAGGCTAAGATATTCTATTCGAACACTAATCAAAATTGAATTTGCTGATTAATAATATATAAAATTAAAAAACTGATAATATTTCATTATCATGCATACAGAATATTCTCTATAGATTATTTTGTTGCTCTACTTCAATGTACATATTAGGTATACTAATTATTATAATATCGTTGTTGACAGCCGACAGGAATAAACCTCTTATGTCCCTAATTTATGATTTTGAGGATTTGTTTCTCTGGATTCAGAGAAAAATAATCTATTTATGAATAAAATTGCCGCCGTGTATTGTCTGCATCGTAGAAAAATGCTCCTAGATTTCTTATGTTCTCAACTATAAATCGTTTTTGAAATAACTCCTATGTGATTTTTTTTTATTTAATACGGTGTTCGTCTCCTGAAAATTCATGTTTTGCACATGGGGATGGTTTTTCCTGTCAACGATGATAATAATATGTAGGTCACCAATAATGTTTTTTCATCGATACCGAGCTTGACGCGTAATTACTGAGCGTGGGCCACAAATTAAATAATCATATATCTAATTTTTTTTTATATATTAAGCTTTATTATTATAGTATACCTTTGTATGAAAAGTGAAAAGCATTCAGTTTATACAAACCGATGAATTTCCAAAAGATCCACCTCGTTCCAATCATAGGAAACGATATTTTTCCTGGAATACCTGAAACTGTTTTGTATATTTTTCGCTGAGGATCTGGAAAAAATATCAATATTTTTGTCATTGACTGAAGTCTCAAGCAGTTAAGACTTAAGCTGAAAAAAAATGTTGCTCCACCCAAAAACCAAAACGTCTATTATATTAATTTTAAATCTATATTTTAACCTATGTCTCACTATTATTATTAATATCACTATATAGTTATAACTTACTATAAATTATAATTAATATTTACTACCTACGTTATATTTTGTATGTAGGTATATTAAATTAATGGATGAGCTGTAATAAATTTTGGCCGAACGCTAATAAAAAAAAAAAATATTTTATATATTGTAGCTATCGTTGTAAACTGTAATTGTTAACTTGACAAATAATTAGTGTATAACGTACTTTTCGGTATGTAATTTAATAATATTTAAAAGTAATATAACTCATAAATTTAATTTGGAAATTCACAAGGCTAAACCGGTGTGAAAAATAATGCATGCTATATATAGCCATATATATGCTGTTCATTTATGTTGAGTGTTGAAAAGTTTGAAAATTGGGGTGCCTCAGAAGGGTTTTGGCAGAGTGGGCCTAGATAATGACACATACAACAAATTTAAGTTAATTGGTAGGTATATACTTTCATATAAGCATCACATTGCTGACTAAACCTATATATAGCATAAATACAATCATTCACATAAAAAGATAAAGTATTTATAAAGATTTATAACAGGGAATATCATAAAATAAAATATAAACATTATATAATAGATATACCAGCGGCAGCTACCCCATTACAAGTAATATCGTCCATTACGGCATTACTATAATGGAACAATTTAATTTGTAAATAATGAAATTAGGTAATTATGTTATTATTAATTTTTCATGATGTAAAAAAATAAAAAATTACAATGCTTAAACCACAGAATAAGATAATACATTAATAGGGTTTTTAAATTATAATTTTGTTATGTGTTGTCAAAAATCGATCTTTAAATGGTTATAAAAAAATTTAAAAATTGTATGTAGGTATTTTTACCATTTTTCAATTATTATTGTAATAATACATCTTTAACCTTAAAGATATTGCGAATTGTCGGTGATAAGAATTTTATAATATTAATAATATAATGGAGGGCAGCTAATTTAGCAGGTCTGGCCATGGCCAGGTTGGCCATACCCGTAAACACGCCTATAGTATTCTAGTATTCGACTCCAATTCTACAATTCTATCAGTACAAGGGGTGTTATAATATCACATATGTTATAATTTATCATACCTATATATTATGTTGATTAATTTAGATATTTTACCTATATCTACACTTAAGCTATGTGTTTATTTAATAAAAAAAAAAAACCTCATTACTTGATAAGCTTCGTAAGCCCTCGTACAGGTGACAATGATCGGAAATTATGAGTGTGATGAATATAAATTGAATATTTTCTAAGTCAAAAAATACTGTCGATCAGAATATACTAAGTATTAATTTGAAAAATAGTCCAACGTAGTGGTGCTTGTGCAAAATATATGAAATCTGTCTGAAAAATAGGCCGTTCGGGGCTCTCCTATAATATAGTGAGCTTATAGGCCCAACCTACTGAACCTTGCGAATAGTGCATCCGCTCCCACCTTCAGTGTGGTCAATTTCCTAAATTACTATTCGCTATACCCACGTTACTGTATGTGTGGTAGTGGATTTGCAGTTGTACCCGTAACTGGCCTATTCTATGATCAACGTAGGGTTTTATTAATCTTGTAGTTTTGTCATGGTGCCAAATGAGACTATTAACATCCACCTACTAATCCCGAGGACTTTCCCATTGTACATATTTTACTATTGCATCATAAGCCTTGGCGGTTGGCCCTTTTACAATTATATGTAGTCCATGCTAAAATGTTATACTTCATCGTTAATAATAACTATTGCTTTCCCACGATCTAGTCATAATGCCAAGATGATCTCGAATATTATTTTATTTTAATATATTATAATTATATGGGTAAGGCTGCGTCCTTAACCTTTTCCCTAATAAAAAAACGATTGACAGAATCAATGAAATCCAAAATGTATACAAAACTGAAGTTAGTCATAATAGATGTTTAGGTAGGTATAAACAAAATAAATAAAGTAGTGTTATAAAACTTTTTTCCTTCTATTATGAATATTCTAGTACAATTATGTCAGTACAAGTGGTGTTATAATATCACACTAATATAAAATACCATATAGGTAATATCACATTATCATTTATCATACCTGTTACCTATATAATATGTTCATTAATTTGAATATCATGGGGGACGAGGTGGCCGTGCGGTCTAAGGCGTCGGTCGCGACGCTGCCGACGCCGGATCGATTCCCGGCCACTGGGCGGCATTTTTCTTCGGGCAAGTCACGGTGTCCGGAGAACAAGTGCCGCCATCCCCCACCCGGGCATGGCAGATACCTACGGGTGCCCAAATTGAAAATTCTGCCAAAACCCAACACCCACGTGTTCCCCCCCTACAATACACCTACAATACACCTACAAAAACAAACCATACAGCTAATGGCCACAGTTGCCGGGCTTACGTTCAATAAAAAAAAAAAAAAAAATTTGAATATCATACCAATATTTACACTTAAGCCATGCTTTAATTAAATAAAAAAAAAAACTGGTAACTTGTATAGAGCACGCTCTCTGACAGGCGACAGCTGATGATGACGATGAAAGAACAAGATGAGTGTGATTGAATTTAAAATACAATACGATCGACTCTTAATTGTATTTAAACTGTTTATTTTTATTAATTTCACAACGATGTTAAACTTTTAATTAAAATTCAAGTTGAAATAGAACACTCGGTTCAACGAATATTAAAAAATATAATATGACGATTCACTAGTATATTTTCCAAGTTCAAAATTATTGTCGTTTGAAAAATTCTAAGTACAAATTATTAATTTGAAAGATGTTATGGCGTGGAGGTGTTTATAATAAACATCCAAAATCACGTATGATAAATGGGCCGATCGGGGCTCCCTTATATAATGAGATTAACCCTCTACTTGACTTGTTTTAATGACAAAAGTTCGTTGATCGATTAACTAGTAGCCAGTGTGTGTGGG